GAGGTCAGAAGATGCCCCAGCCCAGGCTCAGCCCACACCTCAGGCTGATCTAGCGCCCAGGCTGTTACTGCTAGACAAAGTGACGCCAGACACAACAGCTGTGGCACCGGGGTCTCGACCAAAGGGAGAAGGGTGCGGCTGAGGACAAGTCTCCCTACAGCTTCAGGGAGTATGGAGGCTCAGCCACGTCAGGACCGGGGGCGACAGAAGCCGTGAGCGCAACCCCGCACAGGCCTCCCGGAGCCAAACCGTCTGCGTACAGTATAGCAGAGGGATCGAGGCCCTGCCCCGGCCGTTCCCGCGGGCAGCACTCACCATGGCGCCCCAGTCTGCCTCCCTCAGCTGACAGTCCAGAGGCACTCGGACTGCCCAGCTCAGCTGACCGATCAAGCGCTAAGATGGCGCGAGACAAAGACCCGCGCACGGGCGAACCCGCAAAGGCCCGCCCCCGCGTCCGGGTTGCGTTCCTGATTGGATCCCACCTCAGTCCCCACCCCGTCATGCCTTGAGTGACCGCAGATGGCACCAATCCATAGCTGAGAAAGACAGAATTCCCTGAATAGAGACATCTACGAGTGGGTTTTTTTGTTTTGAAATTTGTTTTTCGAGATAAGGTCTTGCTGTGAAACCCGCGCTGGTCTCGAACTTATGACAGTCTTTATGCCTCGGCTCCAAAGTGCTGAGATTGCAGGAGCTGTGCTCCTCTTGTCTGATAAAGCTCACTCCAGGTGGATGACGAGGTGAGGTTTAATCCTGTTCATAAAATCATGTGACTGACAAAGTATATGTAAAAAAATGTTTATTCACAAATGTAAAGAAAAACAGTTATTTTTAAATTTCCAGTAACTTTTTCTTTGATCTTTGGTTTTTTTTTTTTTTTTATTTTGGTCCCAGAGCTTTGAACAAGAGTGGCTGGTTTTTTTTTTTTTTTTTTTTTTTTTTTTCCCAAAACGAGGGGTAGTACCTGGTGAAGAACCCTTGCCAGTTCCCATCACAGGGTTTGAATGACACAGCATGACAAATGAGCAGTCCAGGTCCTGGCCTTCCTCACAGTCCTGGGTATAACGGCTGGTATCACCGCTGGAGAGACAGGACTGACTCCTTTCCTAACTATTTACCAAGTGTTTTCCTCTAAAGTTCATCCAGGATCTCCAACGGGTGGGTTAGAGGATCCTCACCTCCAGACTCACTGGCTGCCATAGTGCTACAAAAGTGCAGAGAGAGAGGTGGCCTTTGCCTCTTCCTCAGGGAGGAGAATGTTGCTTCGGGGTTAATTAATCAGGTATAGAAAAAGACAAGATCCTGAGGGAGCAGAAAGGTTGAGTCAGGTGTAGATTAGAAGAAAGGATATGTGATTGGTAGGGTTTTAGTTGGGGGTATGGTAGGGTAGGAAGGGAGAGAGAAGGGAACTGGGATTGTCATGTAATTCAATCTTGTTTGTAATTCAAATGAAAAAGAAAAAGAAAAAGACAAGATCCGACAACTCCTGACAGATCTCCAAAGGTGCAAGAAACAGCTCGCTGCCTCTGGCCAGTGGATCACTGACAGTCTAATATGGGATTGGATACTACCCTTCTTAACCCCCTCCTCCTTTTCTTAATCCTACTAGTTGCACTCTGCCTTATTAACTTGTCTAGATTAATTCAACAGATCCAAAAGATTTCTAACCAGACTTTTAATCAGTTGCTATTACAGGATTACGGGCCCCTAGCTATAGAGCCAGAGACCTGCTAAAGGGACCAGCTCCCCATTTCGGCAGCCATAACAGCCCAACATGTATTTGTCTGACCTTGTCTTAGTCACTAAGGTCAGATGCCTGCC